TCTTTGGCAAGTAATCTTTAAAAGCCTCTAATTTTTTAAGGGCAGTTTTACAATGACAGTTTAAAAAATTACTGTAGGTCCAAAAGGAAAAAAAAATTACCTCTATAAAATCTAATTTTTCACTTAGCACGGAGACCATACCAACAGCTGCTGTCTTGATTTCCAGGCCATGTGACACATAGCAAAAGAGGAAACCAAGCTTTCATGGACCTGTGTTAAGGAAAACAGGCTCACGTGGGCACAACAGTTTTTAATAAAAATGGAATCAGGCAGAGAAAGAAGTGTGGTTATCAGCTGACCCAAAGGCTACTGGAAAATGGATAGCCGGTAAGTGACAATATTTTGGCTTCCTTTTATCAAGAGTTCCAGGAGTCTGAAAGGAATGTGGGTGGATGAGATGAGCAAGACAGATCTTGGGCTAACAGTTCCCTCCCATCCGTTCCTGGCCATCTTGAGAATGTTTAGTCTTGTGGAGACACCATAAGATATGCCATCTGCTTGCCGAGACTTTTATTTCTTTGATCTGATGGGTCTTAGCTCGTGGCCATTTGGTAAGGCATTCCTTTCAAAGGCTTCAGGTTGAACTTAAGTTGGAAATACCTGGAAAAGACTAAGGTTCTCCTTTGGGTGTCTGCAGATCTTACAAACTGTTACTTAGGATGTTTTATCTTCTCTAATAAAAGCAGCACCAGGTATGCTCCTTCTGAATAGGTATTAGAGAAGTTACAACAGCATAGAGTGGACAAATGGACAGGCCTAGGGCTTGTCTACTAAGCACCCCCTAGAGGAGGGGGGGCCACACACACAAAGGCAAACCACAGGGTCCTTTGCTGGCCTGTTGCTATAAAGAACTACCAGGTGGCCATAGAGAACCAGTACTAACTACTACCTGCTGCATTCGGCATGACTTCAAGAACTGTTTATAATTACTGAGGGTATTCCTTTCGGGAACAGCATGCTAGGCAGCAAGTGCAATGAATGGAGCTAACTGCCTTTCCTCTTTCCATACAAGTTACTTAACACCTGAAAGTGCCCTGTCATCACTTTCTCATCAGGCTGACTTTGATGTCATTTGTTTTTTTCTTGCTTGAATGTTATAAACATTTCAGGGATACGGATATTTATCTACAAAGCAGGAATCAGCCAAAGACAAAGAAAAAAGAAGTATGCTAATTAGTATCTTAAGACTTCAAATATCACATGAAATGTAAACATTTAACCTTTTGTTTCTAAAGGGTTTCTTGAAGCCTCTCTGGACACAACGACATCATCACAGACACAAATAAACAGAATCTTTTAACACCTCTGGAATTATTCTGTACACTTCAAATTAAGGAAAAATACTCAAATATTCAGGCAACTTTGGCATTAACATTTCTAAGAAAGGGGAAAAAAGAACTATCGATGCAAAATCATGAAGAGAATGGGAACAATCATTGGTGTCCATAAAGTTCTCTCTGAAGAGCTTTTTTGCAAAGACTCAGGTGAACTGAACAGAAATCTCATTTTTTACGTCAGCCCAAATAGCAATGAAGTTGAAATAAATAGAGTGGGAGATCCAGACCCTTTCTGCCCAAGGTGAAAGCATTCAGTTTGCTCAAATCCAACCTCTATCAAATACTCAGAATGGAAAGTTGGCAACAGAACTGAACATTTTGAGGTTCACCTACCAGTTTGGCTAAATGTGGTTGGACTTTATCTCACGGAAGAGTTATTTCTGTGACCCAACTGCTTGCTTTCTTTGGGGATCCTACCTTTCTTCCTAGTTCATTTTTGTCAGATACCTGTTTCATTATTGGATGGTACCTCAGGACACCATCTGTCTAGCAGCCTGGCAGGGACTGGATGTTAATAAAACCCTCGGGTGAAGCAGCAACCATACGCATTTTTTTACCAACATTCAGCTTAATAATCCATAACACTGACACTTACTCCTCTATTCTCAACATCTGTACCACTGAATTTGTAAATGCGAACTATATTTGGCTTATACTCTGACCTTAGGCCCTCTGTGATCCTAGCTCTGAGGCAAGAGGCCAAAGGGATCCTACCACTCTCAGCTGGGTGAGGAGTATGAACAGGAAGTTGAGAGGGAGGTGGGAAGTTTTTATTGTACACGATGGACAGTTTTTATGAAAAAAAATATGGGTAACGATGAGTCTGTGATATTTTGGTTTTATCGTGTTTTTGGAGAAATATACATGTACATACATGGATCACACATTTTCATATCATTTATTGACTCAAGGCCAAATTCTACTCAATTTTCTACTTTTTTCCCCACTAAGAGATCTAGAAAAGCTATAGCATTAGAGAATAAAATATTACTTTTTCTAGACTCCTTCCCACATACCCCTTGGTACCCTGGGAAGGTTTGAATATGACCAGGAGGAAGGAGATCTCAGCACAGGCTAAGTTAATTAATGGGAAACAACACTCTCAGTAACCTACAGTTGAATTTACAAAATACACTTCCAAAGCTATGGCCTGGCACAAGTAGAAGATAAGATATCTCACATATTTTTCTCTCTCAGTCTTATCATGCTACCATGGGGAGGAGTAGACAGAAATGTATTATTTTTCATCTTAACAGGCCTACAAACACCAACTTTGATTAGTCAAAAAGAACTCTTTGCCCTAAAAGGCAAAATCAAATAAAAATCTATAGATATATAGGGGACTGTGTTAAGTTAATGTCACTGGTCACTGAGGCTCTGAGTATTCTCAGTCCTCCTTCTAAGTGACTTTTGGGAGAAACAAAAGTTTGCTTAGATTTGCCTTTGCTAAGGACTAACTCAATTTACTTCATTTCATGCAACTCTTCTAAACCATTAATTTACAAGCCAATCTTTTCAAATTATTCTTCTGTGGTGGGGTGTCAGATGATCCAAATTTGAACACATTGTGGTTCTCTGGTTTATTTCCCCCATTGAGAGGACTTGCTCCAGACACTAAAGCAAGGTACAACTCACTCTTCTTTTCCATATTCTAGTTGGTAAAAAAGGAAACTTTCACCTCAAAAATTTTCAGCTATACAACATGTTTGCTGTTCCATTTGATATATCTGCATTTTATCAATGCAGACGTTGAGATGTTGAGATGTTCAGATGTCAGATGTTCAGATGACTAACAAGTACTATTGATGTTTTATGATTGGTTTCAAACCATCCACAACTTACACTCCTAGACATATTCTTGTTTTGTTGAATAAAATAATAAAGCTTTACAAGAAGAATTAGTTGCATTGTTTTATCAACAGACATATGTCTAAGGCTCTTTAATTATTACTGTGGACCTTATCAGAAACATACTATTTCGTATATAGGTGGGGAAAGATTTAATATTACAGTGTGAGGTTTTAGTTTGGGAGTATTAACTATTAACTCACAGGTTGCGAACTGTGGGCACAAAGATTCATCTCAATTTTTTTCAAAAATTAGAATCGAATGTGTATGGCTGGAAGCAGGATGTGCACTCCCTAGTATTTCTGCTGTTGTCTTTACTATCCTTTGACTCACGTTTATATTATTGCACTGTGGTTCTGGACTCTTGTTTTGTTCATGAAGTAAGTGTTTGTAATACCTTTTTATTCCCTCTTACTTAGAAGTGGAAGAAAACAGATAAAGTCTTTGGTTTATGTGTATGGTTTTCTTACTTATACATAAATAACACTGCCATGTAGGAGACTAGAGCAACTTACTTTTCAACAATCTTTCTCACTGCTGATACTGCTGTAGTCCAGTAGAATTTTTATTATTTTTTTCTGGAAATAGCTCTATTTGAATAAAAATTCTTGGAAACTGAACAAATCTTCAAGGAAACTAACCAAAGGGCCTCAAGTGCAACACTGCTCAGTTTCTAATAACAGGAGAGTCACTGCAGGTCATGTTTAAGGAGAAAAGACAAAGAGTAAAATCTTCCTTCTCCCACTGGTTTTACGTTACTCAGAAAAATAGAAACATCAAAATCAAATACTAGATAGGACACTTCCTCGAATGCTAGTTGCAATAAAGTGCTTTGCACCAGAGGTGACCTTTGCCAACTGTTCGAAGTCTCCTTTGCTGTCCCAAAATATGCTTAGCTTCTTTTTTTCATGACATGACAGAAGACTGTGGTAATTATAGGGGTAGTGCTGAAATCTGGTTGAAATCAGCTGTTCTCTTTCTGCTATTCTCAGATCAAGGGACAAATTCCCAATAGTAAGAATGACTTCATTGTTTGTAACTATGACCTTAAGCAAATGTCTTCCTTCAGAGCCAAAGCACTGACATCATAATAGAGAATTAAAAAAAAAGTCTCTGCAACCTACAAGGTTTATCTCCAATTAGCTATCATACTCACTAAAGAAATCTTGGCCGTGTGCACAAGACATTATGTCTATTTCAAACCATACTTTTAAATTTGAACTGCTAATTGACCACAAAGAGTGACAATTAAAAAGCCTAGCTCATCCTGATTAAACTTTACACTGGGAAAATGGTCACTGAGACTATATAGGCAGTTTCAAAACAGGCACTGTAATACAAAGAAAGCAAACCTATTTGGAGTGGTACGAGAATCTTGCACTGGGTTTTGCTTGCTCTAAGTGACAAATTAAGCTGATGCTCCTAGCGAACTGAGTCATAGCAATAGAAAGGGGTAGAAGCAGATGGAGCATCTCCCTCACTGTCATGAACCCAGAGAGTAAAAGGAGTGAGGAAACCCTCTTTTGTCCACAGATTTACAAACAAATACGAAATATAAATAATATTCTAAGACAGTACAAATGCAAATACTGTTCCCTTGTGTCAATTACATACAGCATGCCTACATATAGAGAATGGTAATTCTTCTTCATTCACAGACAGGACATATGGCAGTGCACTATTCAAAATGCTTTGAGATAATCCTAATTTTTGTTTCTGGTGCTGAGATATAATGAAAGGAACTACATTTGCAACTTATTAAATGCTTCCAGGAACAAATAGTTCACTTTGTTCGGGACTTGTAGTTTTGAGTAATTAATCATCCACGGAGCAAGACCCAGTCAGGAGATACCCATTGGTACCACTGGTCCCATTGGTGGTGGTTGCAGTGTGGGGGTTCTTTCCTGGAGGTTCTGAATCTTCCTCATCTGAGCTAGACTCAATATCACTTCGATCATCCTTGGACACCTGTGGAATACAAGAAGGTGAATGCAACCAGCTCCTAAGGAATCATTAAAGTATGGCATGCTCAGAAGTACATGTAATTGTATGTGAAGGGAAACATCCAAATGTTAAAAGTCAAAAAGGATAGGAATATTGCCTATTATATTCCATTATAGTAAGTTCTCCTTCACTGGAGATATATAATTTGGGTGACAAAGTCAATTATCAAGGAATGTAGGTAGATTTGGGCATCATAGGGGGCTGGGCTAGACATACTGACTTTAAGGTACCTTTGGACAATGAGAATGTACCAGACCATGAAACCCACTCTTACTGGCAAAGTACCACACTATGGTATTGGAATGGCATTATAGGAATTTGGTACAAATGGATCAATTTACTCTCTGATGATCACATTCTCCATGAAAATCCCATAAAGGATTAGCCACACTAATTGTGATATTCACTAGCTTAGATCATTTAAAAAGTCATTCTTATTTGGCTTTGTAATGCATTATTTTATGATTTAATTTGTTTTCCTATTCTATCCGCTAAAATTAAGTAGAAATTTTGTGTTATGTACTATGTAACAACTAATGGCAATAGGAGGCATTTTGGGAACCTGCTGGGTGAGGTCTAGTTTAAAATATTTCCCAAAGATTGGGGTGCCTGGGTGGCTCAGTCGATTAAGTGTCCGACTTCGGCTCAGGTCATGATCTCACAACTTGTGGGTTTGAGCCCTGCGTCGGGCTCTGTGCTGACAGCTCAGAGCCTGGAGCCTGTTTCAGATTCTGTGTCTCCCTCTCTATCTCTGCCCCTCCCCTGCTCACGTTCTGTCTCTGTCTCAAAAATAAATAAACTTTTTTTAAAGTTTATTCATTTATTGGGGCGCCTGGGTGGCTCAGTCAGTTGAGCGTCTGCCTTCAGCTCAGTCATGATCTCGCAGTTTGTGGGTTCGAGTCCCACGTCGTGCTGACAGCTCAGAGCCTGGAGCCTGCCTCGGATTGTGTCTCCCTCTCTCTCTTCCCCTCCCCCACTCATACTCTGTCTCTCACAAATAAATAAACATTAAAAAAATTAATAAAATAAAATAAAGTAAAATACAATATTTTCCAAAGAAAATCTATTGATCATTATTCCAAGGTTCTTCAATCCTCCACCCAGTCTCATTATGTAATGAGGATCACAAACTTAGGCACCAGCATATAAATCTATGCATTACCATAAAGGACAAAGTAAAGTCACAGTCTAACAAAAAAAAAAAAAGTCATTTAGGGAGGATTTAAGAAAATCCTCAACTGCTTTTAAAATTAACATGTTTGAACCTCTTACTCTGTCTAAATTATGGTAAACATTTTTACCCAACAGGCCTTAAGCCATCTGAGTAACTGAGCACTGTTCATTTATTTCCTAAGTGGGGTAGCAATAGGGACCTGGGGCCTGGCTTCATTGGGTTTCCCAAATTTAGTTGCCCGTGATTGCCTAAGAAGTGCATTGGCAGAGTTTCCTGGGAGGTATATCGGAATGAACTGGGGGCTTTTTCACATCACATCCTCTCTCTGCCACCACTGCCCCCAACTTGAGAAGCCACCATTGCTGCAGGACAACGTCATCTCTGTCAGGTGGGTGTGGACAGGACAGAGTGTGAACATGTATGCATGGCACCTGCTCCTTTCTAACCAGAAACAACTAAAATAAATACGGTAAAAATGGACTTCACTCCAATGCTCCTTGAGATGAGACTGAACTCAAAAGGACCACCATCAAGAAGATTTAGATACAGAAAAACCAAAAGGACTGAATTATTTAGGATACTTTAACTTAAAAAAAAACATGGGTCACAAAGATAGCATGATAGTAAAGCACCACTACATTTAGAAATCCATTAGTCATAAATTAAGCTGCTAAAGAGGGAAGAAAACTCCAGATTCAAAGTGATTAATTTACATTTGCATGCTTAGTAAGATTATTTTTAATTGCATTTGGAAAAAAAGTCTATATGTTACCTTCAAGGAAATTAATAATTTAACATGTCTCAAGATAACCCACAGAAAAATACTGTCCATTACCCATGGCCATGAAGAATTCTTACTGTTCTGGGTGAAGAGCAATGGCAGTTAAGATATTCTGAAGCCTGAGATCTGCCATAAAATTAATAATCATCTCTATGTAAGCCTGAGGAATAATTTGGAGAGAAGACAAGACGTCTGGTGGAAACAGCAATGCAATAAGGAGACAAGTAATGGAATCTACTGTGCCCTTGCATCTCCAATTACTGCTATACTGATAATATTGTGCACGTTGATGTAATTTGTATCCAAATGAGGAAAGGAGTGTGTTTTAACAGAAATACGTGCTCATTTTAAGGATGAAGAGGTCACAGAGAAAAAAAATGAACTTTTTGCCTTTCAATAGTTATTTGGTCCAAATATGTTGGATATATAAAAGCTGATGCTGAGAACTGCCTTCATAGTACATAACTAGATGCCTTGAGCTCCACAGAAGAGGCCAGGACCAAGTGGTCAGGGCAGAGCAGGCAAACAGCTGATGCTTGGACCTCCTTTCTGGACCATGTTGATCCTCGCCCCAACTTAGTTCTGTTTTTCCTACTTCACTTTGGTCTATTTCTTTTTTTTTTTTTAGCAAACATGTTAGACACCAGTGAAAAAATTCCTCTCCTCCTGCTGGATCGTGCAAACTTTAGCAGGATACAAGTTCACGCAAAGGGCACTCACTGAGCTGTTCCTGGTATCCTTTGCACCTGGTGGGAGCCACATCTCAGTTAAAGCCTCTGGTCAGTGCCAACAGATTAGCCAGAACAATATGCATGGGAACAAAAGCATCTGCGTGCCCCTCCAACAGGCGAGAGTGGCACCCAGAACAAGGACAGAGAGAGAGGTCTGAGGAACTTACATGTAAAGGGTTCCACTTCCCAGCCTTCCAGGGTGGCAGAAGGAAGAGAACAAACAATGAAAGTAAGAAAATGTCACAGAGAACATTCTGGAAAAGCCACTGCTCTCAAGAAACTTTATTTGAATCAGCCTCATGAGTCTATATTTAAACAAAGAGATTTAGCTGAGTTTTATTGGAAAAATCACAAATGGGCATGCTGCATCAAGCAACACTTTTCATAAAAGGAAAGAAATTATTAAATTTCTGTTTGGTAGGAGTTTAATCAGAGAAGGACCATGGGAGACAGAGGCAGTGAAAGAACACGACAAATAACATTATCATCATTAAATCTAGAATTATAAATATAGATCAGTGGGAATCGTCATCAAAGCGATACCACAAGTTAAAAAAAAACTAACTGGACAGAAGAAAATGAAAATTTGGTTTGTGTTTCTAGGAGGTTATGCTAAATCATGAAGAAAAAATACAAGTTTTGATGAATTTTGAAATAATAGTATTTCTGCTGATGAAGAAGAACCAAAAATATAATTTTCTGGGACATATTAGAAATAGCAAGTTTTATCTTACCTTGCCTTTTGAAATAGCTTTGCAAGCCATTTTTATGATCAAGTAAGACCAGAAGCAGTTCAAGCCTTGTACTAGCAACAGCAGTAGATTAAACACCCACCAGGAAGGGTAAGGTCCAACGATCTCCCAGCTTTCAAATAACGTGGTATTTAACACCCTAAGGAAAAAGAGAAAGTAATCACTGAACACAGCTTTCCACTTTGCTTTCAAAGGACCTTCAGTTAGTGCGCACCAACACAAAGCCAACAATATCCACTAACTAGTGCCACCCTGCAAGGATGGTCTGAAACGTGACCAGGTACTTGGAAGAGTCCTTGCTGGAACGATTTCCCTGGTTTCTTAACACTCATTTTAATTCCAGCTGGACCAGTGAACTTCTTCTCCCCTTTCACTTCTGTTGTCATTTCCTCCATTAATTTCCATGACGTTTTGGGTTGTCATTCTCTCTCTTACTACTTGTTAAAAGGCCTGTTTTGTCTCCAAAGTTGCCTTTGGTCTTTAAGTGTGAGGAATACTATTTGATAACATTACATTGCAGGAACAAAGGTTAATTCCAGAAACACTAGTTAGGAAGTTTAAACTGTATGCCTAGCACAGTGGTGGTTAGAATATACTTACAGCCAGGCAAAAAGTATTTGAAGTAATTTGTTCTCTCTGTAATCTATCATCAAGACCAGGATGGAGCAGCCACCTGGGGTAGGTACATGACGGCTGGTTTCAGTGCTTCACTCTTGTCCCTGCTGAGTCCTCTCCTATGACTTTAGAAGTTGATTCATACCTTCTGGACTCATATTATTGTCATAAAGAAACATGGTGCCCACAGAACTTCACAATCACTCTGACTTCCTTGCTTTCCTCCTAAGCTTACTGCAGGGCTTTGTCTGGAGATCTAAGGATGTTGACCAAACTCAACTAAGTGTATTTCCACCATCTGCCACTGCAGTGCTTTCTGGGACCCGAGGAGAAGCTAGGTGGACAATATTTATTGGCTAAGGGGTAGGGATGGAAAACTCATAAGACATAGGCTACTCCCACAAAAACAGAAGACAGACATATAGAAAATTTTAATTTTAATATAAGAAAGAGTATGATGAGTGCTTTGAGGGAGGTTAGGAAAACTACTTTGTTCATAAAAGGAAAGAAACTTAATTTGCACTTGGATAAGAAGAAAAAAAGGGGAATGGATAATAGACACAAACAGGTTTCCCATCCCTAATTTCAGCAACCCTCATTGATAGGCCAGAAGGAGATGCACAAAGTATGTTTCTGATCCTGTCACACTAGTGGTCTCTCGAGAACAATGTACAAAAATCAATAGTATGGAACTGAATTTTATAATTCATTATAAGTGTATTACTCTACAACATAGAATTCACTTTGGTGGAAAGGAACTAATATTAGAAAATCTGTTAATATAATGTATTACACATCCATGGGCCAAACTGGGACAAACCCAGTTATTTCAATAGCACTGAAAGACATTTGGTAAAGTTCAATTCCCCACTGCTGATGTTTAAAAACTAGAGCTCAAAAGATTTCCTTAATATGATTTTAACCAGCTCAAGTCAGCTGTCATCATATTTAATTTTTTAACATTTTTATTTATTTTTGAGACAGAGAGAGACAGAGCATGAACGGGGGAGGGGCAGAGAGAGAGGGAGACACAGAATCGGAAGTAGGCTCCAGGCTCTGAGCCATCAGCCCAGAGCCCGACGCGGGGCTCGAACTCACAGACCACAGATCGTGACCTGAGCTGAAGTCGGACGCTTAACTGACTGAGCCACCCAGGCGCCCCGTGTCATCATATTTAATAACACCAGAGTTACTGCCTTTACAATCAGAGACAAACCACAACGAGCCAGCATCACCATTATTATTTAACACAATTCTGAAAGTTCTGGCCATTGAGTATGGTGGTAGAATGTCTAAGACCTCATTTGAAGTACATAAACATCAAATCTCTATAACTATTTTAGAAATAGCAAGCAATAAAAATTTCTAATAATAGGAAACAGTTAAGAAATTAGTTTTCATTTTTATTCCAGAAATTATGAACTCACTCAAGTATTGAACATGTTTTAAGAGTTTCTTATGATAGACAAAAATATGTAGTATCACCTCAACTTCATAAAATAAATATTGTTGACCTTTGAACAGCACAGGTTAGGGGCACCAACCCCTCATGCAGTCAAAACTCCGTGTGAAACTTTTGACTTCCCCCAACTTAACTACTAATAGCCTATTGTAGACTGTAAACCTTCCTGATAACATAAACAGTCAACACATATTTTGTTTGTTATATGTATTATATACTGTATTCTTACAATAAAGTAAGCTAGAGAAAAGTATTAAGAAAATCACAAGGAAAAGAAAATTCATTTACAGTACTATATTTATTGAAAAAATCTATGTGTAAGTGGACCCATGTAGTTCAAACCTGTGTTAAGGGTCACATAGACACACAGAAAAGCCAGAAAACTGTAATTCCTTGAAAGGAATTAAAGTCATTATAGACTTTCTTTGGTGAATTAAGGAATTTTGTATTTTCTTCCTTACATTCTTCTTTTTTCCAAATCCATTAAAAATAATTAGAAAAAAATACACGTTATTTTTAAAAAGGAGCACATTAGGATAAGCCTACATTCCAGTCTTGTTCATTATCCCAAGAGGCAGCCATACCAGCTTGCCAGCCCGGGGACAACAGATCGAAGTAAGGTTCAGCCCCATGGCAGTAAGGCAGGACCCACGCACCTTACACTTTTCTCTCTCCAGCACCTTGCAGAACACCTAGAAGTAACATGCTTTCTGGACATGTTGGTTGATTGTATGTGTGTTTAGTAATCAAATAAATAGGCATGCACAAGGCAGCTCTGGAAAAATAACAATTTTATTTCAGAACCAGCTCTGCTTTGTGACATATTATATGTTCTGACATTCAGAGGGAATCTAGTTTCATTTGAACAGAAAGAGGTCCTGTAGAAATAGCAACAATGATTGCATTATGCTATTCATTATAAATTAGCCTTTGCTGGATCATAGGTTGAGAGCCTTTTTCACCATTATGATTTGCTCGGCTTAATTTGAACAAGGTGTCATGCAGTCACTGGTGACATGGCATTCACATTAATTTCTGAAATGCTGCATCAGAATTCATAGGCTTTGCCATGACAATCAGTGGCACCTCTGAGATACTGCTCAAAAGTAATGGGATTTCTTTGAAAATTGACTTGGATGCCTGCAGAGACACTTGGGAAAATACACTCAGTGCACCCAGGGGATATATCTCTCAGTAAGAAGCTTGGTAAGAAAAACAATGTATTAGGAATTTAAACTGGGGAGAGAGATATTACACCACATGGACTCTGAAAAACAGCAAACCCAGGAAATTGGCATTGGTTTAGATACAGAATGTTTGATGAGGAAACTGTTCCTTTTTGGGCAAACTGTTGAAATGGTGATTACAGGATTTTATCCTTTCTTGGAGGTTAGGGTTAGGAGTATATACTTTAATGATACTATTGCAAATTTATGGTGATAAGCTCTGAACATGGGTTATCTCTAAGCACTCATAGAGAGAGGCTTCTGGGATGCTGGAAACGTTCCAGATCTTGATCCATATGGTGATTATGTGGATTATACATATGTAAGCTTCACAAATATAAAAACGTATCAAGCTATATACTGAACAGTTGGGCACTATACTGGGAATCATACCTCAGTAAAGGAAAATGGAGAAAGTACTTTGTGGACCAAATGCCATCAACCTCTGGCTTGCATAATTACTATCATACCAATGTTCCTCTCCCTCCCCCCCCCGCCCAATAATGTGGTTTCACCATATGGCTTCTAAGAAAATAGATTCTTTTTTTTTTCCCAAGCAATGGGCTACAGTGTCAAACCTACTGTTGCTGCTCTCTACTGCTGTAGAGAGTTTGGAGCCATTAAGGGACCAGAAAGGACCATTTTCCTTTTCATTAATGTTAGGCTCACTTAACCACTAGATGGCACATCACGCACATACAAAGCATGCTCAAATAGGTCTATTCTACCAGAACTGTCTGCCAAGGTGTGGCTCCCATCACAAGAATCACTGGATCTTCAGGTTACACTCTTCTTTCTAAGAATCTTGCTAAACAATGGGATGAGGAGGCTTCAGTCTACAGTTATTTCTTCCTGCATGATTCTTGATTCCTTGCAGGGCAAAGCTGAGCTCCAGGCAATTTTTGGTGACATGCGGATGCACCATCTTCTACCCCAACAGATAGTTTAGCCTTGATGAGTTATTTTAATGGATGTTTAATGAATCATAAGAATTTAATTTGACCATGACTTAAAATTACTTGTGCTCACACTTACCTTTTAGAGTCTTCATCTAAAATAATTATCACAGAAAGATTATACAGACTATCCTAGGTCATGGATACGGACATTCATGCAGAAGTGGAAAGTTTACAATCTTTTTTTAAAAGCAAAAACACAGTAGTAACATTTTACATGATATTTAAGGACTTATTCATATTCTAAGCATCAATGTGATTTCTGCTTTCCCTTCAGGCCTCAGAATTCTGGAAGTCTCATAATGTAACACAGCACAAGTGTAGACGATCTTCACTGTTGTCTCATTTGGAACAAGTATAACCAGTGCTTCATTCCTTCATTCTTATGACTGTCAACTCAAAGTTTAAGTTCATTATCTTTAATACATAAAGTTAGATGAACAGTCTCACTTTTGGCTCTAATCTTGCTTTTAAAATGTTACAGTAGTTTAGAGGTAGGACCACATATAATGGTGACTGAGATTTAAAGATGAGAGGCCAGGTTCTCTTGTTGTGTGAATGAGTTACAAGTGGATATTCATGATGAGCCCAAGCCCCTGACCACAGCAAGCAACCACAGACTATGCCTCACTCGTTCTCTCCACCCCTACCAAAGAGCTCCACCTGAGCCTTGGGTTGGGGATTTCTGGAATGATCTATATAAAAACCACAACAATAATTGGACCCATGTCTAATATCCAAAGAGAGCCAAGATTGCTTCTCTAGGAGAATCAGGGTCAAGGTCTCACTTTGAGTAGAGCTGCATAATACAAATGAGGGTAGATTAAAAAGTAAAATTTGTGGGGCGCCTGGGTGGCGCAGTCGGTTGAGCCTCCGACTT